ATATTTTATATATATATATATATTATTTATTTATTTATTTATTTATGCATTTTGGGTTTAGGTCATCTGTTAATTTTACATCTAGAACAGCCCGTTCTTAAACCAGAATGGGTCGTTCTAGAGTAAAGTTTTAACTCATAACCTGAATGTTGGAACGACCCATTTCAAGCTAGAGTTTTAGGCCTTTTTAATAGTTTAGAACGGGCCAGTCTGGTTTTGGAATGACCCGTTCTGGGCTACTGACACGTGGGTCCAGGGCTAATGAGTTTTAATAAATTTAGTGAATTCTGGCTGGTAAAGAAATTACATGTATAACTGTGTTGAAGATGGAGTTCTAAAATCTACTCCAAATAAATATAATTAGAATTCCGGTTGGTAAAGAAATTGCATGTATGACTGTGCTGAATATGGAGTTCTACAATCTACTCCAAATAAATATAATTAATTAAATTTATTATTTATTAACATTATAAATATAACTAATTAAATTTATTAAAACTCATTAGCCCTGGGCCCACGTGTCAGTAGCCCAGAACGAGTCGTTCCAAAACCAAAACGGCCCGTTCTAAACTACTAAATAGGCCTAAAAGCCTAGTTTAGAACGAGTCGTTCCAACATTCAGGTTATGAGTTAAAACTCAACTCTAGAACGGGTCGTTCTAGATGCAAAATTAACACATGACTTAAACGCAAAATATATATATATAACGCTGCTCAGAATTCGATTTTTCGAATTCTAAACGTGAACAGTAAATAGTGTTACTTGTGTAAATAAATTGGTACAAGTGTTATTTACGTATTTAAAAAAAATTATTCCAGTAAAAAATTCTATATTCAACTGGAAAAATAATCTTCCTCAAATCATAAGAATGATTACATGATTTCGTACACAATACGTTTAAATTGATTTTTTAAATCAAAATAGTTTACATTTAAAATCACGTTGAAAAAATAAATAATAAATGATAAATAAGTAATAGGTAAATTGCCTAAAATTCAAAATAAATATTTATTATTTTCAATAAATTATAAATTTATGGGAAAGAATCAGGTCACATCATAATATGGAATTAAAAAATGTGTATGAAAAATCTTATTGATTTAAATTTAGTATTTTGTATTCATCATATCAAATTTTGACATGTATCAAGTATTATTATTATTATTATTATTATTATTATTATTATTATTATTATTATTATTATTATTATTATTATTATTATTATTATTATTATTATTATTATTATTATTATTATTATTATTATTATTATTATTATTATTATTATTATTATTATTATTATTATTATTATTATTATTATTATTATTATTATTATTATTATTATTATTATTATTATTATTATTATTATTATTATTATTATTATTATTATTATTATTATTATTATTATTATTATTATTATTATTATTATTATTATTATTATTATTATTATTATTATTATTATTATTATTATTATTATTATTATTATTATTATTATTATTATTATTATTATTATTATTATTATTATTATTATTATTATTATTATTATTATTATTATTATTATTATTATTATTATTATTATTATTATTATTATTATTATTATTATTATTATTATTATTATTATTATTATTATTATTATTATTATTATTATTATTATTATTATTATTATTATTATTATTATTATTATTATTATTATTATTATTATTATTATTATTATTATTATTATTATTATTATTATTATTATTATTATTATTATTATTATTATTATTATTATTATTATTATTATTATTATTATTATTATTATTATTATTATTATTATTATTATTATTATTATTATTATTATTATTATTATTATTATTATTATTATTATTATTATTATTATTATTATTATTATTATTATTATTATTATTATTATTATTATTATTATTATTATTATTATTATTATTATTATTATTATTATTATTATTATTATTATTATTATTATTATTATTATTATTATTATTATTATTATTATTATTATTATTATTATTATTATTATTATTATTATTATTATTATTATTATTATTATTATTATTATTATTATTATTATTATTATTATTATTATTATTATTATTATTATTATTATTATTATTATTATTATTATTATTATTATTATTATTATTATTATTATTATTATTATTATTATTATTATTATTATTATTATTATTATTATTATTATTATTATTATTATTATTATTATTATTATTATTATTATTATTATTATTATTATTATTATTATTATTATTATTATTATTATTATTATTATTATTATTATTATTATTATTATTATTATTATTATTATTATTATTATTATTATTATTATTATTATTATTATTATTATTATTATTATTATTATTATTATTATTATTATTATTATTATTATTATTATTATTATTATTATTATTATTATTATTATTATTATTATTATTATTATTATTATTATTATTATTATTATTATTATTATTATTATTATTATTATTATTATTATTATTATTATTATTATTATTATTATTATTATTATTATTATTATTATTATTATTATTATTATTATTATTATTATTATTATTATTATTATTATTATTATTATTATTATTATTATTATTATTATTATTATTATTATTATTATTATTATTATTATTATTATTATTATTATTATTATTATTATTATTATTATTATTATTATTATTATTATTATTATTATTATTATTATTATTATTATTATTATTATTATTATTATTATTATTATTATTATTATTATTATTATTATTATTATTATTATTATTATTATTATTATTATTATTATTATTATTATTATTATTATTATTATTATTATTATTATTATTATTATTATTATTATTATTATTATTATTATTATTATTATTATTATTATTATTATTAT